CAAGCCACCTACGTGTTCTCTACTCTGATGCAAGACAGCACAGAACCCATTCCCCTCACTCCGACGGGCCCCAATTCCCGGGGAGAGGGCAACCACACAAGTACACAAAACACACACAGCCCGGATCCCCAACTCCCCCTGCTAGACCACGCTCAGGGCACTGCCCTCTCGCCCAGCCCTCCAACTGCCCAGGGCCTCCCTGCTCTCCTCGCTCCCTCACCTATCCCTACTCCTGGCTCTCTCACCCCCTCCCTCACTCTCCCTGCTCCCTATCCGGTAAGACCTCGATCCGACTCTATCTCGGCTATTTAGGCCGTGATTTCCACCGGTGCTGCGCACCGCATCCGTTCCTCCACGACCGCCAGGATGGGGTGCTGCGGCCCGACTCTGTCCCAGCCGTGTCTGGGGGTCTCCAGCATTGCGAACGAGCGCAAACGCGCCCAGAAGTCTGCCACCGCCCGGGCGCGTGCGCGGGCCAGTGGCGAGGCTCCTGTTGCGCCCGCTGTTGCTGTTGCTGCCACCGCCTCGCCCCCTCCCGCCCCTGCTTCCTGTGTTGGCCCGTCACCCGCTGGGGCGTTTAGGGCGGGTCCTTCTTGCTGCATTGCACCTCCCGCCGGGGTGAAGAAATCTGTGATGGCCCGCTGGCGGGATCTCTGCTGCTGGGGCTGCCCCATCATCTGTCGCTGTTGCTGTCGCTGCTGCTGCTGCTGCTGCTGTCCCGCCGTTGCTGTCGCCCCCCTCCGTCCCTGTCGCCGGGTTGCTGCTCGGAGGCAGCACCTGCCGACTTCCATGGCGGATAGCGCCGCTAGGGTGATCACATCCCAAGGGCCCTGCTCACACCCGGGTGGCGCTTGGGCAAGCCAGAGCTGCTGCCGGGTGGTGGTGGCCCCTACTGTTGTCTGAGTGTGTGGCAGGTGCCTGTCGATCTGCTCCCGTACGGCACGTGCGACTGGACATTCCCAGAAATGGTGCAGACGCGGTGGGCAGGGTCGGCCGGCGGCGCCCCCATAGGTCCCACACCCGCATGGCTCAGTGGGCACCCGGGCTAGGTGCGTGTTGCCAGGTAGGGGCACGCCATCCACGGTGAGACGCCACATGGTCTCCTTGTTCTCATTCTCCCAGCGCACCCCATGCCACAAACGTGCCAGGGTTGCCTGAAAGCGGCTAACCTCGGCAGAATTGTCAGGCTGGGCCTGGGCCTCGGGCGTGTTCAGGGCCTCATGCACGAAGTCGGTCATCAGGCGTAATCGTCGCTCGTCCATATGCCCGTTCTGTAGCTGTGTCGCTAGACTGACCGTTAGGCGGCGGAGCGGCACAGCGTCCGTCGCCCCAGGGAGGCGCCACCCCAGGCGCCCGATGATCATAGCCATCACTTGTGCGCAGTCTGGCAGTGTCGCTGCTGGTGCTGGCGGCTGCTGCTGGGGCCCCTCCTCCTCCACTTGTTGTTGCTGTCGCAGCCTGATCTCCACCGTGTGTGCTGCCGCCAGCCAGGCCGGGCTGATGTCGCTGTGCAGGGCTCCAAGAGCTGCAAGGGCGGCATCCTTGTCCTGCAGCTGGGCGGGGTCTGTGGCTGGGTCGAGGTGCTCACGGGCCCACGAATGCCAGTCTGCTCCCTGGAGGGTGGTGGCTTGGCTAGTGTTTACCGCTTCCCACACCCGTACCAGGTCCCCCACCGTGCGCAGTTTCCTGCATGGTGTCAGTGCTGCGTGGTATGCTTCCAGGCCTGGTCGACGGCTGGGGCCCTCGGTGCTTGCAGCATTGGTCGCATTGGGCAGCAGTGGGTTGCCCCACAGCGCCGCCGCCCAGCACCAATCACCGGGTTCCAGAGGGGTTCTGCCAATGTCCTCCAAAGGCGGTAAGTGACCCAGTGCCCCCACGATCCGGCTGATGTCTGCGGGAAGGTCGCTGCTGCCGAGCCACGGTCCCGTGGCCCGGGCGGTTGTCAGAGCCCAAGGCTGGAGTGCAGGGTGGGTGAGTTCCAGGTAGGCGGACAGCGTGCGTACCCAGGGGTGTAGGCCCCGGGCCTCACTGTTGGTTGCCGCTGCCACCTCCTCGTCTCCGCCTGCTCCCCCAGTTACTTCCCCTCCCGCACCCCTACCTTCACAACCTGCCGCCGGTAGTGCCTGTGCAATGAATCGCACGGCCCAGACTGCGTGGCGAGCGTGGATGTGCTGTCGGAGCGGCAGCAGGCCGAAACCCCCGGTTGACGGATGGCCTACTAAAAGGCTGCCGGGTACACCTGTGAGACGCTGGCCTGGGTCTTCTGGGCCCTGTTGCCGGTCGACCAGGCGGGCCGTCAGCCGCTCGATGTGGTCCAGAGTGCTGTCTGGAGGGGGTCCGCCATGTTCGGGCCTGAGACGACACACCACAAAAGCCGAGATACGGATGCACAGAGAAGACCAACACAAAGCGAGTGTTGTTGTTGTTGTTGTTGTTGTTGTTGGGGGTGTTACATGGTCGTGGGTGCGTTCTCCGTACCTGCAAACCACCCTAATACGAGCCGAGGGCTCAAGGGCTGCCAAATCGCCTATAAGCACCATCCTATCTCGCACTTCCAACGAAACAAGTGATGAAGGATACTAACGACCAAAGGGAACGATAGAGTTGCGGTGGGACCATATGCGTTCCAGCATCCTTGCCAGGCGTTCAGGTTCCCACTTCATAGCGTCCTTCATATGCTCGAAGCATGGGAAGCCCATATCAGATCTGATTTTGTCGTACACCGGACAGTCCAGCAATATGTGTTTCTCATCCTCGATGTGGCTATCAGTGCCGCAGCAAGGGCATACTCGCTCCTCCCTAGGTATATAACGCCGTCCCTTACGCGCTCTGTTAGCCGCCAATGCCCAACAGCAAAGCCTAAACTGCATAAGCTTGCGATTCGCTGAACGCGGGATAAACATTGTGATATGCGGGAGCACCTCCTTCCTGCCCGCCTGCTCGGCCGCCAGACCCATCCAATGTTTATACTTCGCCATGTGGATTCCTGGTTGCTTGCCGTCTGACGGATACACGTCAGGCTGGACATCTAAACGCGTATGCTTCCAACCACTCACTAATCGTTCCTTGAACTCCAAAACCACACCTTCTGGCATTGGCCTGTTCATCAGCCACTCCACTCGTTCGTCTACCTCGTGTAGCCCTTGCGGGGCCTCTTTCCATTTCCCCCAAAAAACATAGAAAACGGAGGAGTAGTGTCCCCCATCCGGCCCCTTCGGGGTTGGAGATGGACTCTGCGACCTCCTGTCGCAAAACTTGGTGTGCCACAGACCCACGCTGTAAACGGACATCCTCACAACCTGCTTGAGAACGTGGTAGTGTAGGGGTAGCTGCGACAGTAGGCGGTGTAAACAGTAGGCGGTGTGTTGGCCTGGCAGCTCCTACAATTTGTCGCATGAAAGATATCTGAAGCTGCACTGCTCTATCCTTTAGGCATGCCTCGAAGGGCCCCTCTGCAAGGTTACTCGCATCACTCCGCCTCCTGAGCCTGTCCAAGACCTCAGCTAGCATAAACGGCCCCCACGCTTGACAACCATACAACAGTATTGCTCGTACCTGCGTATCGAAACACCTCATCCTCACATCTGGGGCGAACAACTTTAGCTTATCTAATTTTGCACTCAACGCGAACATAGCTGCTCTAGCTGTGTCATACAACTGCTGACGGCAGGCCCAGAACTGCCGTTCCGGCCCATACACTAACCCCAGATATCGTGCACTATCCTTAGCCGGTATGGCCTCTCCAGCCAGCCTGAGCTCATCACACGATGCTTGGACAGCACTTCTAGTATCGCTGTCGCTTGCAAAAACGAGGCCTTCACATTTCGACACATTTGGGCGCATCCCAAAATCATCACAGAACATGTCCACAATATTGAGCAGCTCCCCCAGTCTTATGGCAGTAAGCCAGCAATCTCTCATAACCAGAACCTTCCCATTGCAGAGGTTCCTCACCGCCTGTATATCTATACATTCTTGCGGGTAAAAACCCAACAATAAGCTAGATTGCAGCCATACTTCAGCTAAAAAAGTTGGCTGACCGATGAAGGACCCAAGCAGGAAGTGCTATAACAGACCTGTATGACAGGAAAGGTGACAAGTCGGGTGTCAGCTTCCTTGAAGCCGGGAAAAGGGCGGGGCCCCCCTGCATCCGTACAGGCCGGTAGCTAGGGTAGTGTCAACGTGGTGGGAGCTGTGCTTGTTGCAGCAGTGTTGATGCTGTGGGAGCTATGCTTGTCAGAGCGCGGGAGGCAGGAAGCCGGGGCTCATAACCTGTTGAAGAGACGGTGTCTCTCTGGAACCTAGCAGACACGGCTAAGAGTCATTGGCCGTTACACGTAGTCTGGAGGTCCGCGACCTGCCACCGACAGCCCCTTGCTTGGGCGTTAACGTATGAGTCTGAAGTGCCGTTACCGGCACACAGCGGGGGCTCGGCCGCCAAGTCCGCGGACTTGGACAGCAGACACAATCACAGCTTGCCAGCCTTCAGCCTGTTGGCTTTGCGGTCTGGTGTTGCAGCCATAACACACGCGGAAAACAGCGCCGTACAGCACTGCCTGCGGCGCCCCTTCAGGCATTGGCCTGCCCATGCGCCTGCTCACGCGCCCTTGGCGCCCCCCTCAAAGCCTAGCTCGACACACTTCCCCAAAGCCCTCAGCACTTTCCGGTGCTGTCTGTGATGTTTATCGAGCTTCGTGGCACACTGCAACTCTTCGGAGGCCCCGCGCATTGGCCAAAGTAAATGTGCAAACAAGCAGCTTGCGTACTTCATAGTGAAATGTAAGCAAATTTGTCGGCCTGCTTGTGGCAAGTCGGAAAGCCCGTGCGGGCAAATGGTAACACAATCTGGGTGTTCACGTTATCATACGCCGTCATCTCAGAATTCAATTATGAGATACGCGGCACCTTTTGAGATTAAATTTAGCCCGAGAGGCGTTGATGTGACTTTGACCACGGTCAATGGAGGCAGCCAAAGTTGTTTGTTCTCATACGATTTTTTTCAAAGACATATGTTTTACAGGGTGGTATAGCTTCACCAGCGGCCCCCTTTCCGCAGGCAGTTCCCTGCTCTCCCCTGCGAGAGGGGCACCCTAATCCATTCTCCCCATCCAACTTCAGAATGTATTCGTTGGGTTCAGCAACTCACCGCCAGCATTCAACCGAACCTAGCGGATCAACGGCGCCTCAACTTAGTTGCTGGTCAGCTGTTGATATAATCACGTCCTAAACCTCGGGTCGGCAGGCGGATTTGAACCCGGACACGGATTTAATTTGGCTACAGGCGAGATACCATGCAATAGAAAATGCAATATACTACCAGTTCAGCCGGCCGAGATATTATGTTTGGTCCGTTACACACGGCCACACGGCCGCACGGCCACACGGTCACGCGGCCACACGGACATGGGCAATCCTACAGGGCGGGGCCCCCTGGGCGCTTCACGCTGGGCCCCCGCCCAAAACCCATAACCCAAAACCCATACCCAATCAGTCTTTTCGGCCTGAGCATAAAGGCTACGGCTACATTACTATTTAAACGATTCAATGCAAGGTGTTTCAATGCCAAGCCACCATGGCCACTCAAGAACCACCACTGGATACCCCAACACCAATGCTGGGTGTGTTTGCAGATATGTGCGCCTGCAGCAGCCCTTGTCCTTGCAGCCCAGGTCCCACAGTCCCAGCCGTCGCCGTGCCTCCAGCTGTATCGAAGAGCATCTCCATTGCAGATCCCAGCTGCCCGAGCATGTCGGATGCCACCATAGCCCGTTTGCGGGCAGCAAAGGCATATGCTGCCGCTGTCCGCGTTACCAGGCAAGCACCATACGAGGCGAGGACCATAGGGTTGATTTCCGGTAGGATCACCACCTCCACCTCGGCAGACTGCCGAGCACTGTCCAAAAACGCCAGCGTCCACGAGATGAACGTTGCAATGGTTCCTGCAAGGATGTCACCCTGGCTGCCACAGCGCTTGGCTCCTAAACGGGAGCAAAAGGGGACACGGCCTGTGATAGGAGCCAGACTCGAGTGTGAATTGTCCATTACAGCACATGCAGTTCAATTATTGGATTTCAGGGATGTAGGAAATACAAGTCATCAATCAGTATCATGCTTCTCTGGCACGATAATATATCACATTTGGCACTTTGACAGCAGCATGTAGGCTTGCCATACAGCAGGCCTCGACTTAGGGATGAAACCTTACATTTTACAGTGCCATGCCATTGGAGGGACCATTATAAGACACTATTTCAACATAATGTTGGAGGAGCAGGTTCCTAATGTCCTTAAAGCCCATATCGACAGTCAACATTACACCCTCAAGTCCTCACTACCATGGCACCGGTCCTGCAGGGCTACCGCTCCCTAATGCACCATTGCCACCAGAACACCGTGGCTGCTGCCGCTAGCCTGGCCGCGGACCCTCAACATCTGTTAAGGCAGCCAGCCCTCAAACTCCCGTCCCAAGGAGTGTCTGGTGTCAAGACAAAACTAAAATGCGGAAGTCCTGGGCAAACGTTCGTGTTTAACAAGTGGTCCTTCAAGCATGCCGTACAGTAATTGTGCTTTCCCTCAAGGGAAAGCAAACACAGTAAACGCATATTAAGCCCCATCCATAATTTATTGCTGTGTTAAGGCGGAAGTTCTGGGCTCCCAAAGTTGGCTGTGTGTGGCATGGGTGGGGTTAGGTCTAGGACCCCAACGAAATTAGCTACAAATTGCAAAATATAATGTTATGTATATTGCATGTAACGCATAAGAATGTTACATAAGATAGCTCTGGGTGATATCACCCACGCGCAGCACGGCCACTAATGGGCTGCTCATGTGGATCCTGGTGACATTCCAGTGAAGCAGCATATAAAAGGGGGACAGGATCTCAAGAAACATAACCCTTGCGTTGAAATGTATGTTAGAGCTCGATGAGAAATGAGATTGTTCTAGACCTGCTTGTTACGCTTCTGTTGGAGTATACAGAGAAATATGTGGCTCTGAAGTTTGTCATGCAACAGTGGTGAGGTTGGTTGGTTTGGAGCTCCCAGGAATATATCCACGATCCTCAGATGTCTGTACCTAATGTTTGGAACAGTGGGTTATCTCTTCACCCGCGGCCGCTACCCGGCGAAAACCTGCCTTCCCCGGTATTTCGGGGCACCCTCATCTAGTCACCCTAGTCAACTTCTCAGTGGATCGCTCAGGTTCCGCACCCACCACCGGCATCCAACGGAATCTGCCGGATCAACAGCGGCCAACTCCATTCCTGGTTAGATCGCAAGCCAACTTCAACCCAGATCACCAACGTCCATCAACTAGGGGCAATCTACCAGTAGTGCCTGACCTGACCTGACCTGTACCTGTTGACCCAAACTGCAAAGTAAAGGCGTTAAATAAACTAACTTTAGAACTTTTATGCGGCCACGACATGAGTACTTTTGTGTCATATCGCCGGAAGTGGCCAAAGTCGGTGACAGTCACCCCTAAAGGTACTGCATGAAAAGAGTAAGGGAACTCATCTAAATCCTGTCCACGGGTAAGAAGGTGGTGCTCCCCAACCAACGGCATGCAGCAAAGGCTGTGGTGTGTACCTTCCCGTGAGCATGAGTATGATTGGGGAGTCCACTACAAGAGCATATCCTCCATCGTCAAAGGACCGAACAGCAGCTGCCTCTGGTCATGGATATAGAGAGCTCCCGTGGCATATGGGGAATGGGGGCTGGCGATTGTGAGTGCATATCGCGATCAGTCGCCCATACCTAGTGAAGCTGCCATAGATGCGCCGGGTTGTGGTCAGGACTTCCAAGAAACATCACCATTTAGATGAACACACATAGCCAGCGTACATGCCAGCGTACATTCCTTATCTAATACTGTTGAGACATGTTCTTAGTGTTACAAAATTAACACAATGCAACAAGGCATTAATCAACCAACGAATTATTTGAGACGGGCATTAGAATTATAAAGTGCATCCTAATTAAGGGAGGGGCACTTCCTTGGGCTTCACACCCACATGGAACAGACAACGTTGGTCAATCTCCAAAGGGACACTCCATAACAGAAGTTGTTGCGGCTTCCTAAGCAACGAGTATTTATACTCAGGAGGGTACTTGTTCGCCCGGGTCAGAGGCGAACAAGTTGTATTAACTTATGCTTAAAGTTTTTCCTGTTTAACTCACATAATAGCCCAGACCTCGGTGGAGTGAATCCATCCTGTGACTTTGGCTACTATCATCCTTATCCTTTATAATGTTATTAAACATTTCATAATGTTAATTAACATTTTGGAGGTACAGCCTTCACACCAGGAGCGTGATCATCGCCTAAAAAAACGCCTATATATTACATCCAAAATTACAGAAAGCTTACAAATCCTTCAGTGGCTGCTCCAGGTCACCAACCTTCTGTCCGACTTCCCATTTACGGTCATCTGGAATTTTGACCCTCGGGACAATCCAAACAACTCTGGGACCAACTCACTTTGGCTTTCGCTGCTTTAACTTTATCCGTAAAATGAAACTGTTTTAACACAAATGAGCGGTGCAGGTGGCAACCTGCAAAACTCTTTACATACTGACTCACCAGAGCCCCAGGATCCAAACCCTGGTGGGGCCGAGAAGGCTGGCACTGCCAATGTGGGAGGGACGCAGCCTGATGCCACCGTTGCCACCCCAGCCAACCAGATGATCCAGACTGCTGGGACAGCGACCCCAAAACTCGCGGATTTGATTACTCAGGTTGCTTCTCTCACTGGAGAGCTGGCACAATTGAAATAAGCCTGGCTGGGTAATGTGAACATGAAAGTGCTGATGTGTGAATGAGATGAATCCTCCTGTTAACACTGTTTCATCTTCTCAAGTGCCCAGATTGAATTCTTTCAAACTTATTGAACCGCAGCTTAAGGCAGGCTAGAACCTGGAAACCATCTGAAATACTGAATGTCTCCACATTTCAGATTAAACATTGAGAGGTGCCAGGAGGCTCCCCTTCTGTTTGTGGCCATATTGGCCGTGTTACAGAACAACAGAGAAGCTTCAGACTGGATCTGTTGTATCACGTCTTTTTGCAGAAAAGAACCAATCGGCGGATGACAGATCCCGTGATATCCAGGATACTACAATTATCCCCCCTCCAGCATTGACCTGGACCATTTGTCTATCTCAGAGCATTTGTGAGATGTACCGCATTTACAGGATATCAGCGGCAGCAGGCCGAGACGAAGAAAATCGAATCCGGGTCGGGACTGGGATACCGAGCCTCGATACCGAATTGTTGTATCACGTCTTTTTGCAAAAAATACCAATTCGGCGAATGACGGATCCCGTGATATCCAGAACAGGATCAACCAGTGTGGGAAGACTGCTAGTGGTCAACTAGGCAGGCTGGCTCTCGACACCCTGATCGGCACTTCTCATGAGCACTATGTCGATTTGGTATATATTCCAAATAGATGAGGTATACATGCCCCTGGATGGCAAGGATGGACACCCAAATGGGTGTGCTAAAATATGCCATGAGGCGGTTACCATTGCCAAGATGACCGACAAATCGATATCTTGATGCCTTGGATTCATTTTACCTTTAGTCACTCCTTGCCGTGTGAACTATAAGGGATCCGAACTTAAGTTACAAGTTACAAGTTCCGCACTTGTGTGCGGGTGTGTCCGTAAAAGCCAGGGGGGCCATGGACGTTGTATTGGTATTGATGCGGATACGCGGGAGGTCATCTTCATTCTCCCTCGTCCGCTTCAGGGTGAAGCGCCTCAGCACGACGTGCCTGGCCTCCCAAATTTCCGAGAGGTACCTGGCCAATGCCAGGGGTGGCGCCTCAGTCATAGTGGTGCGCATGCTGCGCCCCATAAGGACTAGGTCACCATCATACTTAGCCCGTATACTCTTGTACGCGGGACATTCTTCGAAAACATGCAACTCATCTTCAACCGCTCCACAGTCACAAAGCCTGCAGGTACGCGCGGTGCGCTCACGCCCATTAGGCCTATTAACCTCTAACTCCCAACAGCCTAACTGAAAACGCATGAGCACATGATGAAGTTGCTGGGGCATGGTCCCTTTAGTGTGCTCCAACCAATCGAGACGCGCACCCCTAGACGGGGCAGCTCCCATCCAGTTCATATAGCGACACGCCTTGGCTCCGGTAATTCCTATGGGGAAGACACGAAGACGCGGGGGTATTCAGGCACTCCCACCGTGCATCAAGCCGCTTGGCAAATACCTTAAGAATGCTCTCAACTGGCAATTTAACGGTGGTGTAGTACGCTATAAGATCATTACCGCGCGTATTAGTGGGGGGTTCCACTCCTAAGCTAGTAAGAAAGGCTAGTACCTTGCTTGCCCAACACTCAGTGACGCCCCCAAGTGCCAGCGACAAATGCCCGGTGACACAGCGTTCCCGGCCTCTTAACCACAGAGTTCCAAAACCTAAGTACAAGATTGGTCCAATGGAACTGGAGTGGCCTCTGTGACAGCTCGCGATATAGGGAAACCATAGTCGGGCTCCTCGCCCCAACTACGGTTCGCATGTAAGCACGCTGTTCCTGGACCATGGGATTAGCCATAGCACCTTCAAAATTCACATTAATGAAGTCAGGTCCCCAAACTTGCGCTCCATAAGAAAACACCGGTACAACTAGTGCAGTGTTTTTTTTTCGTGGAGGCCGATCCTGAATCTGTTACGAGTTCCGTAATAAATATGCCATCAGTCCAATACGTTTATTACTGCCAGAATTTTTTTTCTGGGGGGGCAAGCCCCCCCAGACCCCCCCTGCCCACACAGGGTACCTGATACACCAGCACAGATTTAATAAATATTTCATTAGAGTCTCAGCTGTTTCCGTCCGTTGCCACATGCATTCAGGATTATGTCATACGTTTTCACCACGACACCACAGCCAGAATGCCCAAGGGCATAGCAAACTCGTCAGTTGTGCATGTAACGGCCACGCTTCTCAGCCCTCTGCAG